ATCAAGCTCCCGAATGGCTTTGGAGGCAATTAATCGGTAGAATAGGGCTTTGGGTCGAGAGGATTAAAGAGATTTAGGAGGGAATTTGACAAATAAATCTCAAATCCCTAAACCTCCTTTTAAAACCCCTCAGATCGCGACACTCTTGCTACTGCGAGAAATTCTCGCTGCAGTGAGACATCTCTCGCTGCAACGACGCTCTCTGTCGTCACAGCAAAAATCTCAGACGAAATTGCATTATGGTTTCTGCAGAATCTCGCTACAGCGAGACTACACCTAGAAATGCACTCCCCTTTGTCGCTCTCGCCACAGTGAGACCTCTCTCACTACAGCGAGAAGGCGACAATTTCTCCCTTTCTTCCCAGAGCCCTCTCACTACAGCGAGAATTCAGTCGCTGCAACGAGAACATTCTGCACTAGATACTTATAAGCTTTTCAACAGTCCAGCACAACAATTCTTCAATGCATAATTCAAAAATCCATAACATACATCCCAACATACACGTATAAATACACATTAATTAATATTACAAAATTTGAGGCGTTACAGTTGCATGCTTAAAACTGGAAACAAAATGGATTTGTGTCCTTGTGAGATGACAAAGGTTTGCTCCTTATATTGTAAAATTATTTGAGAAATCTAGTTTTGTTTGAAACCATTACGACGTGGTTGTCAATCCCAAAGGAAATAATTATGAAAGTATAATGAATATGAAATAGTGTAGAAATTGTGTGATTATAGTATATGTATTGTAACACAAGATTAATGTTGTTATAATATATGTGTTGTAATACATTGACGAGTGTGATTAGGACATATGTATTGTGACATATCGATTAATATGATATAATACATGCATTATGACATACAGATTGATGTAGAAATATATGTTATGAATATTACAGTATGTGATTGATTTTCTGCATGTTCTTTGTAGTAATCAATTCACGATTTGTGTGTTATTGTTAATTAATGTATGATGAAAATGTGTTAGAGAATATTTTCAATATTGTATACTTATTCTTTTAAACTAAGGGATTTAGTGGGACGAAGAATACTCACCCTTATTAATTTCAGAAAGACAAATGAGAAAAGAGTAAAGATGATTGATCTGTTCTAGGATCACAGTCCAATGACCTTGTGAGGGAAGACTGCTCTGTAGTATTTGAATTAAACGGAAGTGTATAATATTTTATTAAGTTTTCACTTTCAAATAATAAGATTCTGTAATCATTTCACGTTAAACTTAAATTTATATCACTTGATAAATTTTGTTGTAAATATTGATTTAAAGTGTTTGTAATATTAATATTTAATTATTTTAATTTCATTTTGCATTCAAATTCTGGATGGAAATCTTAGTTTTTGATTTACTAATGAATTGAAAACCACGAAAACTATTTCATTTTCAAGCTTTGAATACTTTTGAACTTACACAAATATAATGACAAGAGTATAAGTTTCATTAAATTTTCATTTCTAGTTATATTTTATTATTTATATTGGATAAGAAATAAGGATGTTACAAGTATTTGGATTGAGATCGATGAAGACTATAGTTCAACAACGAAAATTTTCCTAGATATTATGAGATACCCTTTGAGAAATGAAAAAAAAAAAAACAAGAGAAACGAATGGAGAAAATAGAATTAAACCCAGATAAACTTACTTTGAGTTGCTTAGATTTGACATTCAAGTTCGGATTCGAGGAGTGATCAGAGTTTGATGAGGTTTTATCTGAGAGAAAAAAGTGAGAGTTCAGAGAAAGTTGAGAGAAGACGTAAGGTTTGGAGTGAAATGAAATTTCCATGTTCAAAATCTCTTACATACACTTCAGCCCCGCGCACTTTTGCTTGAGTGAAGCAACTCTCGCTTCAGCGAGGTGATTCTAGCTTGGGCGAGAACACCAGACAGTAGTCTCTCCAAGCATTTTTGATATTATCACTTGAGTGAGGTCATGCTCGCCTGAATGAGACAACATGCAAAGAGTTGGACATTTTTCTTGTGAATCCTCACCTAAGCAACTCAGCTTGCCTGGGCCAGATCTCTGCTGGCTTGAGAAGGACTCATCTCGCTTGAGCGAAATTACCCTAAAACATGTGGTTCTGGGCGTTTAGTCTCAATTGAGCGAGCTTTGTCTCGCCTAAGTAAGATCCCCTGCACCAGAACTCAAATAAACACTCATCCATTCAATTTAAAACATAACCCAATATTAAAACGATTATCAAATAAATAAATAAATAAATAAAATAGGGTTTACTTAAACCTTTGTCAATTTTGACCTAGACACCATTACCAGGATTGTGGCAGGTCCATTACTGAATTGGCGCCCTTGTTGTGTATGTTGTCAACAAATTGTTTTATAACTTTAATGTGCTTTGATGTGATGCAAAGTAGTAAATAGGGCCCTCCAATCGCTTCTAACGTTAAATGGTTGATAGACGATGCCGAGTCGCTATCAAAACAACTAAGTTTTCTAAAGGTTTTGTAGTATAGAGCCAAACCTAGGTCGATTCACATCGACACATTTTCAGTCAAATTCAATTTTAGGTTTTGTTTTAAAGAATGTAAATAAGATAAATAAGTAAATTAATTAAATTAAGATTTTTTGGAATTTTGAAAATTGTAAATTAATTAAATTAAATTACGGATAGAATTAAAGTAAGTAAAACTGAATTAAGAAACATCAATCCACAAAATACCAATTGCATGTAACTCCAACTATCACAGTATTTAAAGATTGAAATCCGCGTTTGAACAATCACTCAATTCAATTATTAATTTAATCAAATATCCTAATTGAATAAAGTTACGAATTAAATCAAATAATCATTTAATCTAATCCACATTAATTATCAAAACTAGAGCATCAATCGAGTCCTAATTTGAATTCTAACAACAGAAAAGTTAATTACGATCGTAATACATAATTCTGAGATTAGAGAGAAAAGAAAACAAGCTTGGAGCAATTTAGCACAGAACTCAAGTTAGAATTACGGCGTTTGGATTCCACAGATTAAACGAGAGATTTAACCTTCCATCGAAATGCTTACCCCACGCAAGAATGAGAAAAGAACAAGAGAGTTTGAAAGAAAGTAAAAACAAATATTCTTATTCTAACAAAGTCTCAAAATCTTAAAATGTCTAATCACTTCCTGAATTCAGAATCTTATTAATCTATTTATAGGTTCTGATTAGTATAAATTAGGTTGTGGCCTCAATAATATCTAAAAGTCCAAATACAATTATTAAATAACAAGGGTCCAAATGCAATCCTGCAACAATGTTCAGCAAATCTACCTCAAATTTAGAAAATCATAAAAAATTGAAAATAACTCCAAATCCAGCAATCCATATATGCATTTTGAAGCCTTGGATGTGTAGAATCTAATGCAGCTAGAATCAACAAAAAATGATATCTGTAGAAAAAGTTATGGCCAAAAGAGTAGTTAGAATTCAGAATAACCGAAAATACGAAATTAAAGCATTTATTTGTAATAAGCCCAATTTATTCAAATAACTAAAAAATGATAAAAACTCTAAAAATAAAGCATATGAAAAGTGTTTATTAATCAAAATAAAACTATAAATATAAACCTAAAATATGTCACATCAATGGTTATGATTATGTTCTGAGTGATTAGGATCCCCATGCATTACATCATATGCTAAATAAGAAAGAAATTCATAAATGATATGCATAATGCATCATCCCACATATACAATTGTGTGATGTTGTTGTGTGATGATATGTCAAGGTAGAGTAAGTATGATGATTGTGAATGTGCTCCTAAAGCTACTCTATGGCCTAAATTGTTTTATTGTATGCATGAACTCACCCTTGTGTGTTTTGTGCCTTTTCTTATTTCTTGTTTGTAGTGTGATGTGTGCAGAGGAACCAAGACTTGATAAAGGGTGGGTCCTACCATCTGAGGGGGATCCATGGATCTATGATCCTACCACTCAGCAATGCATCTTTTGTTGAGACACGAGTCAAACTTCCACAGAAACATACATCTCCCTCTAATTGATTTGTTCTACAACTAGTATTTGTATATAATGATGTAATAATGCTTTACACATATGTTTCATTAGGTATATTTATTTTACTTTTATTACTTTTAATTTCTTGACACTATATAGATACTCGAGCCTGGCGTTACATCATGTTATTGGATTACATTAATGCCAAGAGAAATATATTTTCAATTGCTTTTTATTTGATGATGAGAGTTTTTATACATGTATTTTACCTTCAAGCAATGACTATGTACAATTCAGGAATACAAGAGAATGTTTGATGTATCTACAAAGATTTGAACCGTACATAAAAGTATATTATAGATTTCAACTCTATAAATTTTATATGCATACTTAAATATCTATTCAGTTCAGTATTAAAGTCTCACATATTTAAAGTATTATTTTATTATTTCTCTACCTTCACATGGTATAATATCACAAATATTTCTGTATACCTACGTTATCTATATAAACTTTGCAATAAATTTGATATAAATAACATTATTTAAAAATTATTTTCAAAACTCGCATCTATAAAATCAAAGTTAATTAATAACATCCCATAAGCTTTAAGAATTACAAAGTAGAATTCCATAACTTTAATTTCTTCAACGCACCGAGAGATACATGAGTCAAATGCAAACTCATTGACCCAAAATAAAATTACAAATATTTTTTCGTTTTTAAAGATATTAAATAATATTCCATGTGAATAAAATTTTATTTAAAATAATAATAAATGTTATTTTAGAATTCAATAAATATTTTTAAAATCATAAAATTTACACTTTCAACTCGAGATAATCATTTTTTAAATTAAATTTTATTGAATACTAATATCTTCTTAATAAGTAAATGACTCCCAAACCTAAATTTTCACTCCTTTGATTTAAATTTCATAAAACTCTTCCATACTTCCCGGACTCACTCGATTTTACACTGTTGGACACTAATTTACTATTTTTGAGCCAAATTCTTAAACCCAATTTCATTCGTTATTTGTGGATGTTTGACGAAAGGAAGTAGATATTTTAACTGCCTCGCATAAAACAAAGCTACTACCTACTACGATCAGATACATGTACAAACAACAACAAACGTAAAAGAAGAAGCTAAACACACTAAAAGATACACTACAATTTCTAAGCTTTCTTGTGTGGTTGAGTGGTCAACACGCTTCCATCAACATATGTAGCCATACCCACATGGATATGAAATAAAAACTTCATATTTTACTTCCTATGCTTTTTCAAATGAGGTTCTGAGGGTGACTGTGCATCGTCCTGCCAAATTTTAACATTTAAACGGCATTAACATAAAATCGAAAGCATAGCCTGTTATGGCACAGAATAAAAAATTGGTTATGTACTAAGAAATTGTTAATAAACTCCAATGCATGTTTGTAACATACTTATTTCAGCAAACTGAAAACTAATTTAGCCCTCTTGTGATATAGGTAAATAGTTGATTAGATAAACATCTATACATTCTTTCATTTAGGAGTCCAAACAAGCATCCATAAGTGAATTTTCTGCAAATTAGAAGAGATTCAGGCAATAATTCAATTCATACTCAGTTTAGTTTATTTATAAAGTCATTTTCATAAGCTACTTGCTGCTAGGTAAAACGTTTTCCAGAGTCAAGTTTTAGCTACTTATGGGCTGTAAAAATCGTTCTCAGGATCAAGAGTAGGATTAGTCATTAATATTTAAAACAATCCTTTTTGAATTGCCCAAAAATAGTCTTTCGCAATGATGTAATATCATTGAATCCAATCAAAATATCAAATTATCAATACGTGAGATTTGTGATACACACTTCTGTGACTGATTTTTTTGCCATCATGCGAAGTTTCCTCAATGATAAATACCCTCATAAAACTAGTCTATACAAGGAAAAATAAAAGGTGAGGTGGAAGGGAATATGCATGGTAGATATCTTGTAACTAGCTTGGCAAGTGGAAGCAGGGGAGAGAGAATTCAGTTAGAAAATATGTTTAAATGCAAACAGAGTGAGAGGGAAGCAGGCAGGAAATTGTGGTAAAAATTTGAGGACCTTTGAGCAGTGATGTTGGCAAACCCTCAAAGATCAACAGGTGTTTCTATCTTTCTGTTCATTGTAATAAAGAGGGATTTTCCTTAGTTCAAGGAGTTAGACACCATTGCTCTTATTACAAAATCAGTTAAAATAAAATTTGGCTTTAGATCTCCCAAGGAGAGAGCGGTCGGTAACCTAACAGATGATTCCAAAGCTCCCAAGGAGATAAAGCTAATTGGAGGCTGATGAACATTGAGTAGGGATGACAGAGGTAGGATTTGAGTAGGATACTACATTAACCAACCCCCACCACATTTAAAAAAAAAAATTACCCTTGCTCGCTGGGTACTTACATGCTGTACCCAAACCCATTATTCATATTTTAGTTACCTTGAATTCGATCTCCCATTATGCATTTATTTGACAAACTTAAAAAACATGAATGTAGTTATAATACTAATATTAATGATGAAAAACCAATAAAAAAAGCATTGTTTAAAAGTAAAATATGTAACATGAATGAAGAAAACATAAAAAAAATAATCCCGTTCCTAATTATGAAGGATTTAAAATATAATAAATACATTATGCAGGTATGGGTAGGATTGAGTAATATAACACCCATATCTGCACCAATACTCAATTTGTTGGTAAATACCCATATCCAAACCTAAATCCATTTGATGGGAAAATATCCTACCCATTGAGGGTAATTATGAATACCCATTTGGTTTGGGTACAATTAGCATCCCTAAGGTTGGGGAGTATCTCAGTACTGTGGGAGCACACAGTGAGAGGCCACCAGAGGCTGTGTTACAAACATCAACCAAACAATGGAGAAACTACAAATCACAATTGGAGGTTTTGGAAAATGTAGCAATGTGTTAGTAACAGGCCCCCAATTAGGAAAATTTATGTAAGAGGAGGTAAAAAACGAAGTGGACCAGAGTCCAAAAGGATTAGAATAGCCAAGTTAGTTAGTTGAGACAGTTGTAAATAACTGAATCTGTTACATGTAATATCTGATAGGCTAATAAACAACAGGTAGGGAAAAGGGGGCATTCAGTTAGACAATTAGGACTTGGTTGGGAGAGGTTAAGCTCTCGAATCATTGAACCAATTCACTATTTCATTCATCTTCTTCCAGAGTCTTGAGTATTTCATATCTCAACTGAATATTCAATAAAGATTTATTTTGATTCTCATTCTTCTTGAGTAACCACATGTCTTACCAATTCTCTCTTATTCCCACATTAGTTAGAAATATAGTCAAAATACTCTTTATAAAGACTAGGACAGTCCTCCTCCTATGAACTAGCTTTTGAGAGTGAGTTAGGCCCAAGTTTCTTAACAGCATGTTATAGAAGTAGTTTTTTTTTCTGGACCGGGTTGGGTTCACGGCCCAACCCTACTTTTGCTGTCAAAAATGCCATTTCCGCCATGGCCACGTTACTGCAAGGCATGTATCAGCCACCATAGCTTCACCACTGAAAATCGCCATTTTTTGCCATGGTCATGGCAGTTTGGTTGAGAAACACCACTGCTACCTACCATGGCGCCGCTAAACAGTTATTTAACAACACTACTCACAACTGGTATCAAAGCTCTTAAATTAGGGAAACAGCTCATGGTGCACACAAGAATGGAGGCTGGACTAGAAATTTTGGAGGGGTTTTGAGAATCTCATGAAGAAACTCAACAAGGATAGACAGGATTTGAGGAATAGACTTGGTTAGAATAGATAAAAATATCTAAAAAATATCCTATCATACAGGATTAGTTACCTTATTTTATCATGATCTCTTAGGATTAGTTACCATGTTTCCTTATCTTATCATGATTTGTTTTATTAATTTGATAGGATTATGATTAGTATAAAATTTATAAATAGATTTAGTGCTTTAGGTTTAATGTACATCCAGGAATATTCAATCATATTGTAAATTGTAATACATCTCTGTCAATATCAATTATGGTTTGTTTCTCTTCCTCTATAAAAGATAACACTTCACAGGGCAGTAACGATGAAATAGCAGGTACCATTGGAGAGACAATGGGATCAAGATGTGAACCAATTGAGGATTGGTGGAGGAAATTAGAGATTCCTCCGTTTTCAGGAGATGATGAGCATGTTGGATTAAAGGAAGTCATTTGAGCAAAGTTGAAGTTGAATTTGGCGCCCTGCTTGAATTGATGGACTATGCCCAGAGGATTGGTTTGACAAATTTGTTGCTGAGCAAAAGAAGTTTCTTGGAGTAGTAAGGGGGGTGGTTCATATAGAAATTATCCTTCCTTGAGACCTGTGACATAAGAGATGGGTACCAAGAGCAAGCAATGGTAGGGCCAACTCTACAGTCAAATCAAATGATGTTAAGACAGCTGGTTCATACAGAGGTAGGAGGTTCAAGAAGCTGACCGATACTGAGTTTCAAGAAAAGTCAAGGAAAGCGATAGGGTCCAGGGTGCCCAGGATCCTTTAGTTGCAGTTCCATGTGTCTCAATTACCAAGCCTAGTGGTTGGGTGATTCACTTTAGAAAGGGCGCCTATTTTAGACTGTAACCTGTGATATAAATAGTGGTTAGAAGAGGGGAGAAGGGCATGAGTAGATTGTTCATTTGTTTTTGGCAGAAAGTCTTCTCTGAGGAGCCTAGCTCCAGGGCACCATTGAGAGTGTATGAAACAATTCTTCTTCAAATAAAGAAAATTCTTTCTTGTTCTGTCTTCAGTTCCTATCAGAAAGGATTATGCTTCAGGTGTGATGAGAAATTCATGTCTTGCCATGTGTGTAAAACTAAGTTGCTTCAGGTGTTAATCTTGAATGAAGGAGATGGGGAGTTCCAATATTTAGAGGAAATGGAGCAAAAGGCATTTCAACTATCAATGTATAGCATCACTGGATTAACTTCCAAGAACTCCATCAAAATGTCAGGCAAGAAAGATGGTATCTTGAGTGGGGGCATCAAGAAGCAACTGTGCAGCAAAGGAGAAGGCACAAGTTATTTGTCCAATTACTCAAGCCTAAAATTGTGAGAAGAGGTGTTGACAGAGAAAAGTCACCAGAAATGGCTGGTAACTGATAGCAAGAAGGGCAGTAGCTTAAGAAAGGGTATCAGTAGACACTGAGAGGGTAGTGTTCAGTATGACCTTTTGGAAAAAGAAAAGACATTGGTTTGGCAAGGGGGCATTGTTTGCTGTAAGTTCTAACATACTTATGCTTCAACCGTAACTTGTGGTTAATTAACATGCTTCAAGAAATAGGACGCCAGTATAAATTTTGCTGCTTTTTTACAAGAGCCTGACCCATGACCTACTTGAACCTTCAGGTCACAATAAGGTATCATTCAACACAATGTTTTACAGAAAATCATATTTGTTAACAAAACATTGGCCTCTACTTCCTTCTTAACGGTTTTGCCTAAAGCTTTTCATGGTTTACCTCTAACGAAAGGGCAGCCATCTAGTTGATCTTATTCCTTTTACTTGGATTTCTACTTTATACAGGTCTTATCAGCACATGCCAAATCCTTATAGGCTTTCTTTATAGGACGTTTTATAATTCAAGCTCTGCCTACCACTAATATTTCACTCCACAAATGAAACATGCACTTTCTGAAAACCCAACAGGTAAAAGAAACATGCTGTAGTAAAATACTGCAAGGGGATTTTCTTTCTTCTCATTTAATTTATCAATATATGTCAACTCTAAGAACAACGGCACAAACAAATTTGAATCTTAAAAAGTTCCTAGCTAAAGCAAGAAATACTACCTTCACTTGCACAACTTCTCGCATAAAGAATAATTAATAAATTCATAATTTGACCTTGGAATAATTTGTTTGGCATTGTTTTATAAAGCTCAGGTGTGTCTTTAAACTTGAGCAATTTTTCTAAGTAACTTCTGAAGCAGTGACAGAAGTAAGGAGGACAAAACTGTAACAGTTATGTTAGTGCACTTCACGGTATTTATTTGGAGTAAAAAACATCATGGCCTCTTTTTGTGCTCTTCACATGGTTTTCTTCACAGGAGTTTCCCTATCAGATATGCATAGGGATTAGAGAGAGCTTTATTTTAAAGATGACTAATGAGTTTGCTTTCTTTGATTTAGAAAACATTAAAAAATACTACTATAAAGAAAAATAGCTCATCCTCATCATTGACTGTACCATTTCTTTCCTCTTTTTAATAAATTATAAATGTTCTTTTTCTTCATTCTGTAAACATATGTCACATATTAGAGTTTCTCAATTACTCCTTATAGATATACGCAGATTTTACATTGCCCCTAGTGCGAATTTGGATAAGGTAGTTGATGATGAATTATCGAATAAACATGGAGTAAAGGAAGCCTTAGATAAATTATTATAATTTTATAATGTATGCATCCTGTACATAGAGATAACAGGAACAGAACACTTACAGCATGAGAAAGCTGCTCACGGATGTAGGCCATTGATCGTAGCATAGCACCCAAAGTATCCCTGGAAACCTGAAACCTTACTTCTGACTCACCAGAGGTTGTCTCAGTATCATGAAGCTGAAACATTTGCAAGAATTTCATTCAGCAATCTAAAGGGTGGTCAAAGAGACAGAATCAACAGAAACCTTTTTGGTAAGTAGGATTGACCTAAGAGAATAACATACTACAAGAGACACAACATACTTAGGGTCCGTTTGAAACATTTTTATGTTTTTAATTTTTAAAACTTGTTTCAAAATCTGTTTCTGAATTTATTTTTTTTGTATTGTATTTCGTTTATTACAAAAATACCATCATGAGTGTACTTAATTACAACTTTGCACCACTTCTTTTAGATGTCAAAACCAAAAACTGAAAACATCTCTAAACTGTTTTCATTTTTTAGTTTTAAAACTGCTGACTCTCAAAACTGTTAGTATGAAAACAGTCGCTCAAACAAATATTATAGTTTCACTATTTTTAGAAACTAAAAACATCTTTTGAAAATAGAAATCAAACAAGCCCTTAATGACAAGTTCTCTGCATTTGTTTTTAACAATATCTTTCTATTCTTAAAAGGAGGGATGGGATACAGGTCAATGAGAATTAACAATACTTTCATTTATAGTCATCAAATCGAGATAGGTATAGGGATTTGGGAGACTTTTTTTCAAACTGTTAAAAATGAAATGTTTGTATTGTAAGATACAGTATCAAATAGATAAATAACTTTAAAATAGGAAAAACATGAAATGATACTTGGCACATATATTTGAAGAAAATGCCAAGGCATCAATTTAACACAAAGTGCAAAAAGATTAATAACACATGACATTTGGCCATGCAAAGTTAAGACAGACCATGAATCATTGAATCAAAAAATTATGATTCACAAGCAATCAAGTTCTTACATAATGCATAAAATTAAAAATGAAGCAAAACTAAACAAAGTTGCACAGTAAAAGAAAAGGGCTCATACTTCTTTTTAAAAGAAAAATCAAGATGATGGGACAAAACAAACAGTTATTAGCTTTCAATAAACTTTATATGAACCTGAGTAGTCTTTTGAAAAATATCTAAAATCAAAGGGTTTTTATCAGACAGGTTGAATTGATCCAGGTCAGATCCACCACAAAAGAACAGCTGTAAAAAGAGTTTCAATAGTGCTTTGCAAATTGGAAGAATCAAAAGAATTATCCAGAAAGGAAGACGTTGCACCAGTTAATACAATACCACCTCAACCCCGGTAGATCTCTAATTTACCCTCCAATTTTTATATCATTGCATATGTACATTAGATAAACAGGTACAATTCAAATTGAGAATCACATGATTTGATAATTTGATATAGACCGATAAGTGCCCAACAATAAACATATTCAATCTACTTTCACAAAGATTTGTCCAAACAAAATAACCAGGCAATACAGCCACATTGTAACTAAAATTACTAGTTGATACTCACGAATAGATATTGCCAATTTTATGTTCTTTATATTCAAACATATTTTATGAAAATCAACAATAGGGTATGTGTCAAAACGAATAAAGTTTAATGCCAAAATAGACATGGATCACTCAATGATATTTTCTAAGAATTTGGTTTTTCACTGATTTCAATGGCGTCGTGTGATTCATGCAACACAACTTCACCTAATGAGATAAGGCTTGGTCGTTGTTTTGTTATTGTACCCTATAAGACTACATTCTTGATGAAACCATAAAAAAATCATTTAAACTTGTCACTTTTCTAACTAGCCATCAAAAATACGCTTCTCATATTCAATAATCAATTCCACTGTCCTAGATCCCCAGCATCCTGAAATACAATTAACAAGATTTGTTTCCCATACAAATATTGTTAATTTAATGCATTAAATTACTTCCTGAATAACAAAATTAATAGGAATTGTCAAGGACTTCTCATCATAATTTCTCACTTTATAAATCATAAATCAACATGTGTCATCTTCCTAAATCCCTACATTTACTTGTTATGAAGAATATTGTTTTGAGTAAGTTTAATGATGGATATTTAAAGATGAATTATCTCTACTTTTCTAGTACAAGAACAATTATGCAACATAACTCAGAAACAGTGAAAATTTGAGAAGAATAAGTATAGAAAATAAAATCACGTACCCTGAGATTTATTACAGCAACCTTATTAGCAGGTGTTGAGAGTTGTTCACTGATTGAAGCCATAGACTTCAACATAGGTTCCAAAGAAACTCTTGAGAGATTAAACTTAACCTCAGATTCTGTTGACGGAGCCCTGCTATAATCTTGCAACTGCAATACGATGCTTGAAATAGGTTAAAAGACTAAATTTCCTCAGTGATTATCAAATACGTAGTGAGAGGGCAAAATCAAAATACTATGCCAAATGGAAGACTACAAAAGATATTTATACCCATGCAAATCAAGCATTGATATCTCAACCAACTTTGCAGCTAAACCAAATGAAGGATGATGCAATATGTCTTTCTATTTTGAGGTTAATATGAATATACCTTCAGATTAATAACAGCTACTTTATTCCCTGGAGTTGAGTTTTTATTCTCCATGACCCATGTCATTGATTTTAGGCATGGAAGAACGACCTATATCAAAGAACCCAAGGACCACATCAATGCTATGGAATTCTATTCCATTAAACACTATAGAAACAAAAGACAAAAAGGTCTAATCTCAAGTACCAGGTTTTCAGATGGACCATCATCTCGATGAAGAGAGACAGGAGCCATCCGTGGCAAATTTAGATCAGCAACTGATTGAACAGGAGCACCAGCATCATTAAGATTAAACCTCCTTGTTATTTCATCTTGCCGTGGCCACAAACGAGGAGTTGTATCCAAAGTTGAAGTAGCAGTTTTCCTGTCATCATAAGCACTAGCAGTCCCACTGCCCTGATTATTAGAAGGCGGAACTTTGGCGACACTTCTTTTCACAGCAGCAACCTTCTTTACACTTTCTCTAAGACCACTAATTGCAGTGTTATAAGTTTCCACAGTCACTGCCCCTTCCTCAGCATATCTGATGGCTTCCCGACATAGATTGCTATACCTTGATGTCAAAGACGCCTGTACATGTGATTCACCAGTATGTTCATCCAATCCAGCATTGCTTTTTGCATTCCTTGTCCACCGTTTTAAAATGTAATGGGGTGGTAATGTAAGTACATTTGTCACAGTGAAAACAGTTAAAACATGCCTACAAAGAATGCCTGAATACTCAAACATTTGGCAGCTACAGCTAGCTTTCAACTCAGAATGGTTTAATGTGACAGCATATGCCTTTTGGTCATCCTCAAACTTTGCAACCCTGAAAGTGCTATTTTCTCCATCTCCTTCAATTCTATTTGCAGTATAAACAAAAGTTTCAACAAGCTCTTCTTGAAACTTTGAAAATATTTTTCTTGTATAAAGATTAGCAGCCTGTTTCTCCATTGGTGATGGTGTCTTCAAAACTGGTGTTGCGCTAATTGTCTCAAAATCTGCTTCTATTTCCTTTTCAATCCAGTTCTCTAAAGCACTTTCATACTGCCTGAAGAACAATGGTAATGCTGTATGTTGGTTGACATAACCATCAAAAAAAGAACCATCAAATCCTATGGTAGGAGATATTGCAGCAAAAAATGAATCACGGAAGTATGCTGGAACCCATTGAGCACGAGCACTATACAATGACTGAAGCCACTCATTTCTTCTGAGTTCATATTTATCAATGATAAAATTCCAAGATGACTCAAACTCCTCGATGGTTTCGGTCATATTAATACAATTATAAAGTTCAACCTGAAAATTTGGATGTGCAAGACATACATGGGCCAACTTTTCTTGGCCTTCTCTCAAGACATGCCACTTGTTAAGACAGTGGCGAGCTTGTGGTAAAACTTGAGAAACTGCTGTCTGTATTGCTCTGTCTTGATCAGTAATTATAGATGCCGGCTGACGATCATTCATTGCTGTCAGAAATGTCTTAAAGAGCCATAAAAAAGATGCCTCAGAGTCATCAAAAAGGAGTGCACAACCAAACAAGACCATTTGACCATGATGATTTAGCCCAGTAAAAGGGGCAAATGGCACTCTGTATTGATTTAATCTGTATGTTGCATCCAGATGAACTGTATCACCGAAATGAATGTATGCTGTCCTTGATCTTGCATCTGCCCAAAAGACATTACACATACGATTGTCTTCATCAAGTTGTATAGCATAGAAGAAACCAGGGTTCTCAGCCTGCATCTTCTTAAAATACTGAAGCAGATTGTGAGCATCCCTTCCCATGGTCCTGTTTTGAAAAGAAGGCCTAACAGTATAATTCATCAACGTGGAATTTTTAACTGGGTGACTTGGTTCAGCATTAGCAGGATGAATATTCCTTAACCCACGAGTATTCTGATTAGAAACACGACTCCCATCCATAGATACATACATGACACCACTGGGAACAAGTCCCACTCCTTGATAAGTTTCAGGCATAGTCCGTCCAACACTTGAAAAATGCTTACTTGGCCGAACATTGTGTGCCTTACTGGAACTCACCATGGAATGACTATGCTCCTTCGCAAATTTTGTTACAACCCATTTATTTTGACCCTTTAGCTCAATCCTAAGCATTGCATTGCAGCTTTCATTAAGCCTTTTTTTCAATCCTTCCCTACCACACACAAACTCCCTATACATATTTGCTCCATCAGCTTTAGGATGACCATTTGGGCCAACTTTAGAGCTAAAACCCATGCGTCTAGCATACTCATCATAGAAAGTCTTGGCAACATCTTCAGACTCAAATTCCATACCCACATATGGCTCAGAAATCCCACCCTCAACACGAGATCCTGAGTTTTCAGCATTATTAACTTCACCATCACTACTAGGTTCAGCATCCCCATCATCTGCTTTAGCTTGATGACCACTTCCTTCTTCCACGGTTATCACTTGAACATCCATTTCAAATAATTTATACCACTATCAGTTATCTTACTGTGTGCCTATTTCATGGGTAAATGTACTGACCATGGACTGTATGCTTTAACCCTATCAAATAGAAAGTAGGGGCCAACTAAGTTACCTGTGCTCCAAGTAAATTTAAAATTAAAAAATACAGTTTAAGAAGGTCAAAAAGTGATCTCCTTGTATAAAGTAACATCAAGTTATTCTGTGGTTTCTGTCTCATTTTTAAATTGCAATTCTAAACATGAATTGCTTCAGACAGAAAGCAGGCACAAGTCCACAAGGAATCTTATATATACCCAAATATGTATAAACTAAATATAAATAGATAATAACAATTTTTCTAATATGTTCCTAAGGGTGCATTTTCAGAAGTTAAAAAATATTGAAAATAAAAATATTTATTATCTCAAAATCATTTAAAACATTTAAAGCATGCTTTTTATAGTAATTTAAAGCATTTAATATTTAATGCTCCTTAACATAGGCTCTTGCGCATTCATTAGAAACACCAATATAAAAATAACTAGAATTCACAAATTTATTAATGAGTTAATTATCACAATTCAAAAGTAGTAGTAGAACGGGCAAAAACTTCACCAACATGATAACCAAAAATCATCATTTCATACCAAAAAAATCTATAAAGATTAACAAAGTTCCTAATACATAAGATTTGACCAACAAAGACGAAACGAATTTAAACATGAAAATTAACCCACAAAAGGAAACATTTACAAATTTATTGACCAAAACGGTTATGCACAACTTGATATAGAAAATTGGAAACCCTAACTTACAGCAACGACTACAAATTACAAGGAGCTGACCACAAATTGATTCACAAAACTCCCAATTTCAGGTTCCAGAAACTCGAATTCCTGGAAATCCCTTCTCTTCCCAACGGAGGTGGAAAAGCACGTGACAGTGAGTTTGGGGAGCGGAACGACTGCGTTTCGTCGGTGGTTAGGGTTTTTCCACCACCGTGAGTTGCAGAGAGGAGAGAGGGGGAGAAGAACAGAGAGGAAAGGGAGAGTGAGTGCGTGTCACACAGATTCGATGAGACATAAGTAGACACGCGTGATATGTGCCGTTTGATTCAAATCCAACGACCATGGTTGGCTCAGACCGAACTCCTTTCACTTTTATCAAAGTGGGATCTGAGTTCAAGTTGTGAGTTTTGTGGTTGGATTTGCCAAGTGCATGACCTATGTCAGTGGGCTCCTCAACACTCTCTGCATCAAGTTTCTTCTTCGTTTTAATTAAGTTTTCTATTTAAAATAAAAATAAAAAAAAATTAACCACACTGTTTAATATGTTTCCTTTTGAAACACAATATGCCTATATTAACTTATAGGAGTTTGAATATTTAATGCAATATTTACACAATGCAACATCTTTAAATTTTAGCAGAGCTTTGTCATTTCAAATATAGTTACGTAACTCAACTTAGAATAATTCATCATCTAGAAAAATATGAGTTAAATATAAATATGATAAGATAAGAGTACGAATGAGTTAAAACTTAATAAAATATTTATGTTAAAAACATTTATATTCCCACTGACACTGAAATTAAACTTATATAAATAATGTTAAAAACTTGACGTTAAATTATAATGATATTTTTAGTTTTTTTTTTTACAATTTAAAATTTATTTTTTTAATAAATTATAATTTTAAAATTATATTTTGTAAAAAAATTAAAACTTTTTATAAAAAATATTAAAAATATATTTTAAATAATTAAATCCTTATAACATATTAAAAAAGAGTATAAAGCAGGATTATAAAGAAGAAAAAAAATTATCTTTTTGTAATAATTTCTAACTTCTCACTCTCATTTGCATAAAAATTTAAATTATCAAAATGTGGTAAAATAATATAACAAAATAAATTATAATAAGCTAATGTATTTTGTCTTTTTATACTATCATCAAGTGTGTTTAAAATATTAAACATTTATAATTTTTTATAAATTTAATATGCAAAATTTTATGCATAATTAAATTAAAAATAGATAAAAAATAATGTATATACCAATAAATATGTTTGTGCATTGCACGAATTTATTTTATTTTTATAAAATAAATTTATTTTAAAATAAAAATATATGTAATTTAAATATAAAAAGTAAATTTTTTATTATTGTAATAATTTTATTAAAAATAGTAACAATAATAATTTTAGTATAAATACATAAAAAAAATTATATGATAATGTATACAAATTAAAATATATTAATTTTTTGTTATTATATAAATAAATTTATTTACAAAAAAATATCATAATATTAGAATAATACTCTAAAATGAAAATGTGTATAATTTAATATTTTTTAGAATTAATTATATTAATTTAAAATATTTGATAGACTAAAAAAATATTTATGATAAAAATACAAAATTAATTTTAAATAGCATAAAATTTCTTATTTATAAAATCTAAAAATAAAATTTATATTATTTCATAATATCATAAAACTATTTGTTATTATAAAATTTTAAAATAAATAATTATAACAATAACTTATTAAATATAACAAAAAATTTTAATAAATTATAAAGTTTAAATAAAATATTCTATAATTTTTAACTTATGCATTTATTTATATTTATTAACTTAAATTTATATAATAAAATATTTATTCATAATTATAATTTAAAATTGTTAATAAAATTTTTACAATATCATTATAAAAGAATGATATAATACTTTTTTTAAAAATAACTTATTTGACTAATATATATAAAAATAAAATTGTATTTATTTAATTAATATATGAACTTTTAAAAATATAATTTCAATATACATATATACAAAACTATATATTAATACATAAAAGTAAAAATATATTTTTTTTGTTACATAAATAAAATTATTATAAAAATATTGTAAATAAAAACTACTAATAATGTAATATATATTCTTAATTTAAAAGTTTAGTTGTTGATAAAAATAAAAAAATATAGAATTGAGTTATTTTTTAAAGTTAGTAAATTATTTTATATTGCTTGATATCTTAATAAAATTCATATTGATTAATATTATAAAAAACTAATTTTATTAAATAATTAATTAAGTATAACAAAGTTATGTTGTGTGGTCATAAAATTAAAATAATAAATTTATTAATTTTTTTATGTATTTTTTTAATTTTTAAAATAATTAATATAGTTTTGTTAATGATATAATAATATTTTTAAGAAACTATTAAAATATAAATATTAATTTAAATAGAATTTAAAAAATAAATTTAAAATGGTAGATGAAAGGGAACATGTAGATTAAATTAAAAATAAGTAAAAAAATGTATATTATTATTAAGTTTATAATTATTTTAAAAATATATAAATATAATTTCAATATAAATACATTAAAATATTATACCGTCATAACAAAATAAATGTATTCTAAACATTTTGATGCAGATCGGTGGGTGTATTTGAGATTTGATGACTGCTTTCAAGCATATTTTTTGTGCGACATCTCTATGTTTGTGTCTCTATAGTGTAATGTATGTTACTTGGTTATACAAAAAAAAAGTCAATAATTAATGAACTTAATTTAAATATTATTTTTAAATGAAAATTGTATAATTTTAGGAATATAACATAATAAATATTAATAAATAATTATATTTATATTGATTTAATTTTTTTATGTATAATACCCGTATTTTGATTTATATCTTGAAACTAATTATAAGTCCGCAAAATAACTGAATTTTTCTATTAAAAGTATTTTTCTCTATGTTTATAATTGAATGCTCTCATGAAAATTTTCAAAAACATTGGAACTTCTTTTCCAATCTAAAAATTTTGAATAATCATATAGTTAAAATATAAAATGCTAATAAATTAATATAATTTAATATCTTAATATAGAGAATATTTTTATAACATTTCAAACATTAACTTTTGTCTTTCTCAAATTATAAGTCCTTTTATAGTTGTGAAGATTTAAACTTCATACTCATGAAATTTTAAAAGTACATATAGAGTAATATTTGAATATGAAGAAAAGATTAAGGGGGTAAAAAAACTTTTTAACTTTTGAAACAAATGTTCTATATAGAAATGAAATTCAATAGTCAAACTTAACTCAGAGTTAAAATGTTACATTTTTTTGTAGTTATTCATTTATATAATATAAAATTATTAAATATGCAGATCAAACAGTTACCTAAAGATTTAAATATTAAATTATATTCATCTTTTGATGAATAACCATTTTCATTATTATGATATTTAATAATATTTAATTTATTTCAATTATTATAATTAATTAGTTTTAATTTGAAATTTTTGAATTTATCATCATCATTATAATATATTTTATAACAAAAAACAACATTGCAATAAAATCAGTAAATATAAATATTATAAAAATTTAAATTTGTCATCATAACTATAATATAAATATAAATAAAATATTGTCTATTTTAATATGTTATATATAATTATGATATATTAATTCTTATTAAATTCTTTTTTAAGAAATTAAAATGATAGAAGAAGACCAAAAAAGAGTATTTAAAATTTTTTATTAAGATTTAAATAGAAACTAAAATTAAAAAAGTAATCCTTATATCAATTAAAATTACAAATGTTGATATAATATAAAATTTATGAGTCCCATATAAAATATAGATAAATGTTATGATAAGAACAAAAATACTACATAATATATATAATAATAGAGTAAGAGAGACATATATAATAAGATAACAAAATTATTTTATAAAAGACGAAAATGTTTGATGACATTCAACTTTTCAAATTCTACAAAATTTTAAAAGTATTTATAAAATAATGTAATAAAATTATTCAAAATCTTCTAAATCTTTTATTGTTGCCTTTAGTTCAGTATTTTTTGCTTTGTCTTTACTCTTGATCAAGTTGTAACCTAAAACAAAATATCAAGTATAAATTACTGCATGATCTAAGAAATTTCAACAATACATTATAAATTTATAATTTATACATTAATTTCTTCTATTGTTTTAGTAAATTTGGTGTTCCCACGAGTGGAGATTTACATGAAGAACTTATTGTCAAATCATCTTCTTTTGTTCTAAACTTTTTTCCTTTTCAATCTGTAAATATTAAACAATTAAAATAAAGTTATTTATTCTCATATTATAAATATTATAAATGGAAACAATAAAACTTCAATTTAATCTTCTATATTACCTTTGCTACCGGCTTCAAAATTATATTTGTTGTGAAACTTTGTCTTCTATGACTTTTAAAGTAAGTACTCAATTTTATTTGAAAATTATGTGAAGTGCTTGTAATATTTAAAAGTTGTAGAGGCAACTTCAACCCTTTACTGTCATCATAACAAAAATTATCATATAAAATATTTATTTATTTTAATATATTTTATTTATATAATCAATCATTTGATTAAATTTTTCAGTAAGTTATATCTTAAAATATTTTCTTACAATTTCAAATCTATCTTTGTTTTTTGTTACTCAAAATTTTTTTATGAAATATATTTTTCTTTCCTTTAATATACCTTTGAACCTATAAGCAATACTCCGTCCTATTGAAAGCATGTATGCAATTGGTCTATAAAAATAAAAATTTAATCAATTAGAAAATTTAAAAATAAATCAAGTTAGTTAGTATAAAACTACATATAAAAGACAACATAATTATAATTTATTACAAATAATAAATTTTTTATAAGAAAAATACAAATAATAATACCTTTTTTCATCAATTAGTATCATATTAGTACCAATTAATTTTTTTTAATATATATATTTAGAGTATTTCATAATCATAATATTCGCACTTTTATTTTCCAATCATATGTTGTTGAATCTAGACTGTCAAGGAAAGTCCATTTATTTTTATTGAAAGTTGTTATTCTCCTACAAAAGTATGGAAAACATAAAAGCAAATAGTTATTTGTGATTAATATAAATTGAATCTACATATAAATATATCAATTTGCATGGTAAAAAAAAATAGTTTGGTTTAGATATTTTAATTAAAATCTATTATGAGTGGTATAAAAATAATTAAATATTTATATATTTTTTATTTACAAAATTTAAAATATAAACTTATATGATACGTCAACTCCATGGCAATATTAAATAATCTAACTTTATACTATTGCAAGTTTGATTAGTTAAGAAAATAATGATAGATTTGATACAATATTA